GAGCCAGAACTTTTGCACAAGCCGTACAACAGTTGAACAGTGAGTGTTGTCCATGCAGAGATTTGTAAATGATCAGACGTCAGAATGCACTGTAATCGGATCTCCTGTGTGTGGAGGCTGCTGTGTGAGGCCGCAGTAACTGAGTTTTGTATATTTAGTTAAAGTTGCCTTGGGATCAAATTCTGCTTGCTTGTAGCGCTGGTGTCTAGGTCCTCCCACCCGGCCCAGCTGTTTCCTGTTTCTATCTTGGCCAAAAAAACTTTAGCTTTTGTCCAAGTTTTAGTGAACTACTGAACAAGCCTGAAGCGGACTTTAGAGAAACAGTTTTGGACGCAGAATTAACAGGCGGGAGTCAAAAATCTCTCACCACAGAACGTAGCATGTGAAAAGTTTCCACTTTCAGCTTTACGGACTTAAGTCACTTCTGTTTATTTCCAGCTATTATCCCAGTCAATGGCAGAGGACAGGTCAGCGAACCATTCAAGATATTTTTATTCCATGTGGAATGTTCTAAAATGTGATCACATTCGGCCTGGAATTGAATCACTTAGAAAAGGCTACGTTCAGTCATAGGCTACCCAATATTTTGTAGAAGTGCTAGCAATGCGTTACACACGGGCTGGAGCAGTGGGAATCGCTCCAAGTGGATATGTTATGTGGCCATTTAGGCCTCATGCTCATGGGTGGCTGGGGATTCCTGCAACAGGAATCCCCAGGTCTGTCTGTACAGATGTGGTCAAGATCTTTCTAGATCCGCAGGTAATTGTTGTATGGACACACCTGAGATTCCTGCCGCAGGAATCCCGAGCCATCCATGAGCATGGGGCTGCTATCACCCTGCCATTAACTTGGACTGGCACAACAGCCTCATCTGTACGGACACACCTTAGATTCCTGCTGCAGGAATCCCCAGGCATCCATGAGCATGGGGCCGCTATCACCCTGCCATTAACTTGGACTGGCACAACAGCCTCATCTGTACGGACACACCTGAGATTCCTGCTGCAGGAATCCCCAGCCCTCATCTGTACGGACACACCTGAGATTCCTGCCGCAGGAATCCCCAGCCATCCATGAGGATGAGGCTGCTATCACCTTGCCATTAACTTGAACTGGCACAACAGCCTCATCTGTACAAACACACCTGAGATTCCTGCTACAGGAATCCCCAGCCATCAATGAGCATGAGGCCGCTATCACCCTGCCATTAACTTGAACTGGCACAACAGCCTCATCTGTAAGGACACACCTGAGATTCCTGCCGCAGGAATCCCCAGCCATCAATGAGCATGAGGCCTCTATCACCCTGTCATTAACTTGAATGGGCACAGCAGCCTCATCTGTAGGGACGCACCTGAGATTCCTGCTGCAGGAATCCCCAGCCATCAATGAGCATGAGGCCACTATGACCCTGCCATTAACTTGAACTGGCACAACAGCCTCATCTGTATGGAATCCCTGCCGCAGGAATGCCGCAGGAATCCCCAGCCATCAATGAGCATGAAACCTCTATCACCCTGTCATTAACTTGAATGGGCACAGCAGGCTCATCTGTAGGGATGCATCTGAGATTCCTGCCGCAGGAATCCCCAGCCATCCATGAGCATGAGGCCGCTATTACCTTGTCATTAGCTTGATTGGGCACAACAGCCTGATTTGTAGGGGCACATACGAGATTCCTGTATTCCCAGCTGCCTAGGTACATAAACCATTTATTATTGCCCTCCTGTGATCCAAAACTCAGCAAATAGCGGGCTTTTACCTGCTATATGCTGACAGCGCAGAGCAGTGCTGCAGCCAAGAAAGATCCCGACACTATTGTTGGAATCCACCCCACTACTTGATTGACAGCTGGCTCTGCCTCTCTAGAGGCAGCAAGCTGTGCCCGCATCCTCCCCCGTTTGTTCCCCCAGTCAGCACTGGAGGAACAGAGATGGGAAAAGGGAATCCCTGGGGGGAGTGGTGACTGACAGTTACTACTCTCTGCAGGTAGAGAGGTGACAGGGACGATCAAATTAAAGGAGAACTATGGGGTCAGTGTTTTTCCCCCATAGTTCTCCTTAGGGTAACGGGAGGACACAAACTAGCGTCCTCCCGTTACCCTAAGCTCAGTATACCGCGAGCTACAGCTCGCGGTATACTGAGACGCCGCACCTGGAGCGGATCCCGACTTAGATGACGGGATCTGCCCAGCTGCGTGAGTGACAGCTGGCTCTGCCTACCTAGAGGCAGAGCCAGCTGTACCCGCCCCCTCCCCCGTCCGTTCCGCCAGTCAGCGCTGGCAGATCGGAGCGGGGAGAGGGGAATCCAGCCCCTCCCCCTGTCGCGGCAGAGAGCCGTGACAGGATCGAGAGGGGAGGGAACCCGTTATGTTTTCCCTCACCTCCCGATCTACTGAGCCGACCTGTGACAGTCTCATTGTAACAGGTCGGCTTAGAACTATGAGGTGAGTGGAAATCACTCATGTCATAGTTCTCCTTTAAGGATGATTCCATTGAAAGGTTATTGCAGATTTGTGCCAAAATCTTGCTGCATACCAGAGCAAGCACACTCAACTCTGGAGCACCACCGCCACACAACAAATTAGGGATTGGCGTGTGCCACTTTTATTTGTCACAGGAAACACTAATTATGCTGGCAAATAGAAACTGGTGTATTTTTCGATGTGCGCCAGGATGAGTCAGAACCTGAGCTCCTCTGAACCTGGAAGGAACTCCACCTGAACAGAGAAGGAAGGTCTTTCTGTGCCGCCCAATTAGCAGTGGGTGGGATATCCCCTGCCCACAGCTTGACGTAAGCAAAGGGGCGGGATGCAGTGACATCATTGACCTTATTTGGCTGCACGCCTATATTTGGTAAATCACATGTACCTAATATGGCCATTTAAATGCAATGATGCCAGAACAAGCATCCCGCCCCTTTGTTCACAGTGGGCAACTCTGGCCATCCTGCTGTGCTTTAACTACAAATCCCTTCATGCCTCTGCCTCTGGAAGTCATGTCTATGACTGCAAGTCTTGCAATTCCTCATGGGGCTGGAGGGCCAGAGTTGCGCACCTCTGGTTTACATGCAGTTGAGGTGTGGGGAATGCCCATGCACCAGAATTGACATAGCTGTGTGATCTCGGAGCCATATGTCACCTTGTAAGACCTGCTGCAGTGTCATTCATTGTTAATGGCACCCCAACGCAGCTTACTGTACCATGCGTTTTTAAAAAGCTGCAGAGACTTCTTTGCTGCGTATGTCATGCGTCGGGCAGTGTACTGAAAAGAATGGGCTGCTCAGTATGTGACACACGAAAAAACGTGTGTACACGGGGGCTTAGGGCCTATTCACACTTGGCCGTTTTGCAAGATGCATTACAAGTAAAGATCCCATTCTTCCCTGGATGGCTGATCTATGTGATGCAGTGTTAAAGGTAAACTATATGGGCCTGTTCACACCTGCACATGTGTATTACCATGCATGCTGCGTGCACATGGAACAGTGTGAATCCAGCCTAAGGCTCTCAGGCTGGGCATACACTGTTAGAATTTCGGCTGATTCACAGGAACTGGGTGAAGTTTTAACAGTGGGTGGTCCTGCCAGATTGAGCAACCGACTTTTGTCTAAGGAGCCAGGCCTGCAAATTGTCAGCTGAATAGTGACTGCAGCCAATCAACTGAAACCACTATTCGTGTATGCTGTCAGCATACAATAACCGCAGTGAAAGATTCACCTCCCCATGCTGTTTAGCGCTGCCGGAGGAATCTGTTTGATTCTTGTAATTTAGCCCATAGATAGGTGTGTATGGCCAGTTCCTCTTTATACACCCAGCTTAGTAGTGTATATAGAAAGAGAATAGACAAAAGGTATATACTACAGGGGGTATGTTATATACTCACAATAAAACCCATAAAAAAAACTATCTTGGTGGAGCTCAGCTTTAAGAACGAGAATACACACAGCATCTGAGTGGGATTTATCAAAACTGGAGCAGGCAGAATCTGGAGCAGCTGTATATGGCAACCAATCAGCTTCTCTCTTTCATTTCCAAAGCTTAACTGAACAAACTGAAGCGAGAAGCTGATTGGTTACTATGGGCAACTGCTCCAGATGGTGTCTGCTCCCGTTTTGATCAATTCCTTCTTTCCCCCAGTGTGTCCTGTAGATGGAAATCTTGCAGTTGGTGTCCGTATCCCGCATGTATGTCTGTACGTCTGTCTGTGGATGTGTGTGTCCTTTCTCAGCCATAACACCAGCTGCAAATCATTAAATGTGTGAGATCACTTCTTCCTGCGGAGAGAGACAGACTGAGAGTGAAGGAGAGGGAGCTGACTTTAGGAGGAGGACCGAGATGAAAGTAGCATAGAAGACACAAGAATTAGGGCTCATTTACATTTTTGCGGCGCGTTAACGCACGGGCAACAACGTGCAATGCGTTAAGGCAGCCTGTTGCAACGAATGGCCTGCCGATGCCCTGAAAATCAGGTGACTCTTCAACATTGCCTTAGTACATTGGGGCGCCATTCAAAATAAACAATATCGCAGTGTCGCAGTAACGCATGTTGCGTTGCGGTGAACGCAATGTAATTGTGGGCAGGGATGTGCAAATGACACACATGAGAAGGATTGTGAAGGAAGCCATGTACTGCTGCTTGCCATGTGACATGTCATTATGAAGATGATGATTGAAAAGGCTGCTAACAAGAACAATGCTTGCTGCCCATAGCAACCAATCAGCTCTCAGCGGTCAGTTCTAAACTCCAGAGTTGGAAATGGAATAAAGATTCTGATTGGATGCCAGGGGCAAGTAAAAGGAATGTGGTTATCCCCCTAGCTGTGTGCTGGGAGTGAAGGGGTGACCTGTGGATCGTCAGTGCCTCCTTTCCAAGCACAGAGCTGATGTAGTCACCCCTCCTAACCCCGCACAGCACTGGCAGATCGGAGCCAAGGAAGCATTGCTGAGCCGAGGAGGACAGACACAAAGGAAGGGAAGGGAGAGGATGCCCCGGGCTCACCATGTCTCGGTGCGGATGTGGAGTCACATAGCGATGCGGCTGTCCTGCAGTGGTGTCCCGGTGACGGCTGGAGTGTGATGAGAGTGTGATGGCAGCATCTCCTCCTCTGCTCTCCGCTCCTCACACTGGGGGACCTGGAAGGGGGGTGAGCAGAGCACAGCACCCCCTCCTCTTCTCCCTCTCCGAGCTCTGATTTGTTCCCACTCTCCTGCCTTTTATACTACCGTACTTCTTCTCTCCAAAATGCCAGACTTTTCCCACACTCTGTGTCTACTCATTCTTCCTTCCCCTTCATGTCACATTGTGTCTTCTATCAGTCTTCACCTTTTTATATGTCCCACCTATTCACTTTCCAATCTTCCCGGACTGTCATCCCATGTGTCTGCTCCTCTTTGTCTGCCCTTCTCCTCCTCCTTACTTTTCTACCCCCTGGGTCTCATGGAGTACAAGTCCCCTCTCTTTACTTCCCCTTGTGTCACATTTTCTTTAAGGTGGAAAGAACAAGCTTTCCTTTGTTTCCGTGGCTGGGGGGTGGCAGCGAAGCCACGTATCCTGGACCTTCAGTGTGCTGATGTCTGTGGCCTTCTGAACAGTGTTCTGCTCTCCTGACACTGATCAGTCCACACTGACACTGAGGAGTCCACACTAATCAGTCCACACTGACACTGAGGAGTCCACACTAATCAGTCCACACTGACACTGAGGAGTCCACACTAATCAGTCCACACTGACACTGAGGAGTCCACACTGATCAGTCCACACTGACACTGAGGAGTCAACACTAATCAGTCCACACTGACACTGAGGAGTCCACACTAATCAGTCCACACTGACACTGAGGAGTCCACACTGATCAGTCCACACTGACACTGAGGAGTCCACACTAATCAGTCCACACTGACGAGTCCACACTGATACTGAGGAGATCACACTGATCAGTCAACACTGACACCGAGGAGTTCACACTGATCAGTCAACACTGACACCGAGGAGTTCACACTGATCAGTCCACACTGACATGAGAAGTCCACACTGATCAGTCCACACTGACACTGAGGAGTCCACACTGATCAGTCCACACTGAGAGTGAGGAGTCCACACTGATCAGTCCACACTGACACTGAGGAGTCCACACTGATCAGTCCACACTGAGAGTGAGGAGTCCACACTGATCAGTCCACACTGACTAGTCCACAGTGACACTGAGGAATCCACACTGATCAGTGCATGCTGACAATGATAAGCCCACCATGACACTGATCAGTCCACAATTACATTGATAAGACTACACTGACACTGAACAGTCCACACTGATTATGTTTAGTCCACACTAACACTGATATGTCCACACTGACACTGATAAGTCCACACTGACTACTCTGCACTGATCAGTCCACACTGACAATTTTGTGTCCACACTGATACCGGGGAGTGCACACTGACACTGATGAGTCAGAACTGACAAAGATTAGTCCACACTTATCTCTTGACAGTGAAAAGTCCAGATTGAGCGCCTAATACTGGAAAAACTCAATTTGGAAACTAATAAGTCCACACTGATAATGATACATCCACACTGATACTGAAAAGTCCACACTGAGCTCCTGATACTGACACTTCCACAGTAACAGTGATAAGTCCACACTGAGCTCCTGATACTGACAGGTCCACCCAGGAAGTGATAAATCCACACTGAGCTCCTGATACTGACAGGTCCACCCAGGCAGTGATAAGTCCACACTGAGTGATAATGATAAGTCCACACCAAGCTGTCGATAACGGCAAGTCCTCCCTGACACTGAGAAGTTGCCAGAGAGCTCCTGACAGTGAACAGCCCTCTCCAGACTCCGGAACCAGCCTAGCTGCTGTGTGTACACTTGGTCAGCACTGAACTGCAGCCAGATGCTCCCTCTGACTTCCTGCACTGATGGCCAAGCTGACTGGACCTCCCCTAAGCTAACTGTGTTATGTGCTGCCTAGATGAATTGTAATGCCTATATCAAAGCTTATACTGAATTACCAAAATAAAGTCATGCTGGTTTGTCACTTTCACCTTTCTGTAACTTTTCAAGTGTGCATTAATACATTCCTGGCATGTCACAATACACAGCAACAGTATCATTTTTCAGCAAAGCTGTAGCTTTTATCATAAAAGCATTCCTTGAGCTCCAGCCCAGTGACTTTGTCTAGGCTGTTTGCTAGAGGCATAAGGAAGTTTGTCCTCAGTCCCCCCCCCCCCCTCCCCCCAAAGATCAGACTGCAACATTGCAGCAAAGCACAGGGTGAGGGGCTGAAGGTCGGATCTGTGTCAAATATTTGTAAACCCAGCCAAAAACTACACAGGCACCAGGATAAACATGAGTGTGTCATTGTGGAGCCAATATATTGGAACATGAAGACCCAGGATGATGCTTGAACAAAGGTGTTGCTGTCCTACTGGAAAGAAAAGCAGATTTAGGGCTCATACACACAAACAAATGACAGTAAGATCCTGTTTTAAAAGTGCTCTGTACCCGTGTGTATTTAAGGTTTGTGCAACTTTGACATGTGTATGGCGTATAGTGCAAAGGTGCCCCGTCAGTTGCTAGGATGCCAGGCAGCTTGAGCAGCCTGCAGCCTAGCAATGAAGGATGCTAAATGGCAAGGAGTCATCTGCTTCCTAGCAACAAAAAGAGAGTGATATGGAGAAAGAAAGAGCGACAGTGTGAGAGAAAGAGACAGAGGAAAAGAAATAGATAACAAGAGAGAGAAAGACAGGTAGAAAGAGACAGAGGGGGAGAGAGAAAAAGAGATAGTGAGAGAGAAATAGAAAGAGACAGGGAGCAAGAAAAAGAAAGAAATAGTGTGAGAGAGAGAGGGAAAAAAAGAGAAAGAGAGAGCAAGAGACAGAGGGGGAGAGAGAAAGAGACAGAGTGAGAGAAATAAAAAGAGACAGGTAGCAAGAAAAAGAAAGTGTAAGAGAGAGAAAAAAAGAGAGAGACATGTAGAAAGAGACAGGGGGGAGAGAAAAAGAGATAGCGAGAGAAAAATAGAAAGAGACCGGGAGTAAGAATAAGAAAGAGATAGTGTGAGAGAGAGAGAGAGAGAGAGAGAGAGAGAGATAAAAGAAAAAGAGAAGAAAAGAGGTTGAAAGAGAGAGCGAGAAAGAGAAGAGAGAGAAAGAAAGATAGTGAGAGAGAAAGGGAGAAAGAAAAAGAGAGAGAGGGGGAAAAAAAGAATGAGATAGCGAGAAAGAAATAGAGAGGGAGAGAAAAAAAAGATAGGAAAAATAGGGAGAGAGAGTGATAAAAAAAGAGAGACAGGGAGAGAGATAGAAAGAGACAGATAGAAAGAGAGAAAGAAAAAGAGATAGCAAGAGAGAGAGAGAGAGAGAGATAAAAAAAAGAAAGATAGCAAGAGAGAAATAGCAAGAGAAAGAGGGAGAGAGAAAAAGAGATAGAGTGTAAGAGAGAAAAAAAGAAAGAGAGGGAAAGGGGTACCAAGAGATAGAGGGTGAGAGAAAAAGAAAGAGAGGGAAAGGGGTACCAAGAGATAGAGGGTGAGAGAAAAAGAAAGAGAGGGAAAGGGGTACCAAGAGATAGAGGGTGAGAGAAAAAGAAAGAGAGGGAGAGAGAAAGAGATAGAGGGAGAGAGAAAATAAGAGAGAGAAGGAGAGATAGCAAGGGAGAGAGAGAAATAAAACCAGAAAGAGATATATTTTGTAGCCATGAGAATGTTGAACATTGACATTAGTTTCATCCGTAGAAGAAACTTACAAAGTAACCAAGTTCCTAAGTGTAATCAGATTCACTTTCATCTCTTGGTGCGCTGGAGATTGGCAGCAGTGGGGACTCCGCCTGATATACAATGAATAGTGAATGTGTATAACAGATGAAGAACAGATTGCCTTAAGGCGTAATCATTCATTTCTGAATGATCAGATCGCCTATTGTTTCACCAGCTTAATGTTATAGGATATCAGTAGAGATAGATTAGACACCAGTCTACTAATGGCAGCAAATCTGACAGGTTTACACAACAGTCAGAGAACAGACTGATATGGGGTACAAAGGGCACGTTTGGAAGCTGGGACCCTACTTTCATCCTGGCTGGAAGTGGTCACATTGTCACAGCCTATTGCATGACCATAACATACAGTGTGTAGGCTTTGTGCACTTCATTTGAAAGGCGGATCAGCAGGCAGTTTATTTCCTAAAAGCCATCCATCATGTTATGTTTATGGGCATTTTATTACCATATTTTTACAGCTGCGGCATATTCCACAGCACTTAGAGAACATTGCTGAATGGTTTTGTGTAAAGTAAAAATAGCATGAAAGTTGCTCTTAGCTGTGTAGTTCTGCGTATTGCTCAACCTACGATGATGACTTACAAAGTTTCTCTGCTCTGCTTGAAGAGGACCTTTCAGTACTTATAGTATACATGAATAAATTCCTGATATATCACAATACAGAGCAACAGTATACATTCTCAAAAACACTGAAACGGTTATCATTAACAAACATTTCCCAAGCTCTAGTCAAGTTACTGTGTAGGCTGAGATGATGTCATCAGTCTGCTGCATGCAGGAGGAAGCTTTTCCTCAATCTTTTCTTCCTCAGTGATCATTTTGCAATACTGGGACAAGGTGAAAAGCTGCAGAATAGGGCTGACAAGAGCTGGAAAGACACCAGGATTTTCATGGTTGTGTCAGAAAGGAGATACTGACTCTAGATGACCCCTGAACAAAGATGGTGCTGGCCTTCTAATCAGAAAAAAGCAGATTAAGACATTGTCAGGGGGAGTACTGGGAACTCTAAGAAAATAAGTACTATTTAAGTGTTAGCACACATCCCTTAGCATGTGTGCGCTTAACCCAAAAATACATCTAATCATAATCACCCCAAGTGCAACATCGAAACTGCAACAGCAGGCACTGTGTTTTTAGTCACTGAGCCAGTGGAGAGATCACAAAGATCCCTCTGTGACCGGCTCAGTGATACATAGTGCAGCAGCACTTGCCACTTACATTCCTCACATAACAGCCACATTCCACGGTGCTGGGAAGCTACTGGGGAGCGTGGCTGCAGCTTCCCATCCAATCAGGAAGCTGGGCAGGTGGTTACATGATCACCTGCCAGGCTCCCTGCTTCATTACTGCACCCCTGCTGGAAGATGTAAGGCATAACTGAAGAGATGGGAATCCGGGAT